AATTCTAAATTTAAATTAAACCAGGATACACGGTAAAGATTTTTGAGTTTTCTTTGAGAAATAGTAAATCATGAACCGTGTCAGGGTCTAATTAATTTCTTTTATCAGTTACTGTATTGCCGGCAGTTGAAAAAACCCTTTCTGAAGGAACTAACGTGGCTGGAAAAGCTAAATATTTTCTTGCTTGTTGCGAAAGAAGGAGAAACATTGCTTTACGTTCATTCCACCAGACTAATGGATTAACTTTACGATATTCTTCATCTGTTATATGATATTTAGGAATTTCAGGTAAATTATCATAAAGTGTTACTTCTTTCTCAACTAATGATATATTTTTAGTTTCATTTGGAGCAACATAATCGTCATCATAAAAAGAAGCAAAAAAAGAAGAGGGACCAGTATTTGAAGTTTGGGTTCTTGAATAGAACTTGGTCGTTCTTGTATATCAAATAAAGTATAAAGGTGAGCAATAGTTTCTCTCTTTTTAATAGGTGTTATGTAATTCATTTTTTGAACCTCGGATCTAAAAAGGCAGCTATTAGACTATGATATGATGGTTCAAACCACCTTGATAACATCGATTGATTGATTTTACTACAGCAAGCCTTTACTACTTGTGAAGTAGCTTTTGGGTAAAAATCTCTTAAATGACGAGAGAGCTTAATGAGAGTAGGAATCATCATTCCTAATGTGGGATATTGGCTTCCTCCAATATATCCTGTCACTTGCGTAAAAGGACATAAGAGTTTTGCTAATTTATCTATTGAATTCCATTCTTCTATTGATAAAAGAAGCTCAGAAAGTTTTGTTCCATCCTGCCGTTCTTGACGATTAACATTTTGTTTTAAGTCATTAGCTAATCTTACAATAGCATTACGAAGAAGGAAAAGATTTTTTAAAAGATTGTAGGTTGAACTCCACTGAGTTCTAGTATCACTTGAAAGAGGATTAACTTGATGCTGTGGATTTAATTCAGCTTGCAATTGACGGAGTTTTTCACGGTATTTATCTTTACTATTGACATAACTATTTAATGTTTTCGCTTTATTAATTAAATTACTGACTTCTTCAATATCAAATCCATCTCCTAATGCGAGTTGTATCGTATACGCAGTGCAACCTAGGTGAGAATTAAAATAATTACAATTTTGTTTTATTTATATAGTTTTATTTAAGTATTAATATTTGACTATTTAATATTACAATATTAAGAGTTGATAATGGAAATAATAGCTCGATTTGGTGTTTTTGCTACTGTGTGCCAGAACCCTCTTATATAGAAATTAACTAGCCATAACTTTTAAAATATTTATATTAAAATATTTAAAATTTTTATTTTTAGGTATTTCTGATTTTAGCTATGACAATTAAATTTGTAATTTGGCTTTACCTATGTTCAATACCAAGTTGATCCATGGCTTTAATCATCGAAGAAGCATTATCCGTTGAAGCACCTAAAAGTTTTTTA